CAGATTATCGTCAAATAAATCATTTTTTTTGAATGAAGCAAATTAGAATTTTTTTCATTTTTTTCACTGTGTCCCACTGCGGGCTGGTACCAAAGGACCTATGGACTGGTACTAGTCCGCGAACCGGGGGTTGGGGACTTCTGATCTATACAGTGTTCCATTTAAAACCGGCCCTTCAACAGGAACTGTATTGCTGATGTGGCCCCCGGTGAAAATGAGTTTGACACCCCTGTTGTAGAGTGACCGATCGACCCAATCCTCTACTCTGTGTTTATTGGTTGAGTTCCCATGCACCCATGCTAACACCATACAGAAACATACCAGGAAATGAACCAGCAACCCAGTGATGTTTTTGTGGTGAAAACAAACCATGTAGAGGTCAAATAAACCAAAGGTTCATCTGTTACCACACATCTGGTTTCTCCTGTGGGAACCATGCCGTTGGACCAGGATCAGAATCAGGAGTCGTACCATGGTAGTTTCCTCCAGTTAAATACAACAAAGTAAAGAAATATAAATAAAAAAAACACCAGATTTTCATGTTTGATGGTGGACAGACGGGAGGACGTGTCACTTTCTAGAATTCACTGTTCAAAACAACTGCAGTGAGTACAGTAATAAACTCCAGTTTGATGAAATATGGTCCTTTTAAAATGAACCCAATCAAGTGTTAAAGTGATTGATTTGGTTTTTCTTTTTTTTTTTTTAGTCGATTTCAGTGTTTTCGTGTCGTTAACTCCACCCTTTCAGTTCTTGGACTAAAGGTCAGACTCTAAAGGTCAGTCGTCGCTGTAAATGTTACTGCTCATGTCCTTCGACAGTTTGTACTTCAGTACTCTCCAGTACTCTCCAGTACTCTTCAGTACTCTCCAGTACTCTTCAGTACTCTCCAGTACTCTTCAGTACTCTCCAGTACTCTCCAGTACTCTTCAGTACTCTTCAGTACTCTTCAGTACTCTTCAGTACTCTTCAGTACTCTCCAGTACTCTTCAGTACTCTTCAGTACTCTTCAGTACTCTTCAGTACTCTTCAGTACTCTTCAGTACTCTCCAGTACTCTCCAGTACTCTTCAGTACTCTTCAGTACTCTCCAGTACTCTCCAGTACTCTTCAGTACTCTTCAGTACTCTTCAGTACTCTCCAGTACTCTCCAGTACTCTTCAGTACTCTTCAGTACTCTTCAGTACTCTTCAGTACTCTCCAGTACTCTTCAGTACACGCTAACGTTGTGGTTTGTTTTTTGTTTTTTTTAGTGTGAAATCGATGTAGAACAACGCCACCTACTGTACAGACTGGAGTCTGCAATCTATATTTAGTTCAGCTACATTAACCTGCCCGCTGTGTGTGTGTGTGTTAACGCTGTGGTTGTTGTCTGCCCCCCCCCCAGGGGAGGGTGTGTAGTGACAGTAATCACTACGCCCTCCCCTGGGCAAAAGCCACTGGTCTGATCTAATTATCTCATTCTCTTAAGTAAGGTGTGCATGTCCACGCGTGCACGTGTGTGTGTGTGTGTGTGTGTGTGTCCTCCACCTCCACCATCACTCACAGACACAGTTACACTGACTCTGTGGAATCATCTTTCTTCTTCTTCTTCTCGTCGTCGTCGTCGTCGTGTTTATCTTTACACCACTCTGGTCCTCTACTGTATGTACGTATGTGTATGTGTATGTGTGTGTGTATGTGTAGCTAACAGACTACGTGTGGCACAAGGACTCATTAGCTCACTTCCTGGAGGTCCCCATCATTAATTTCCCATGATGCCTCAGTGCTCCTGTGTGGCTAATTTGTCCCTGGTGAGCTGGAGCTCCAACAGAGAATGTGGAGGAAGTCTGTGTATCTCTCTCTCTGTCTATGTCTCTCTGTCTCTCTCTCTCTCTCTCTGTCTCTCTCTCCTGATTGATCTCTGGGTCCAGACAGTTGTTAACAAAGTTGTTAAGAGTGTTGGAAGTTATTAATGTTTCAGGAAAATCTATTCTGTCCAACAGTTGAAAAACACACTCTCCTCCCCTCTCCCTTCTCCTCCCCCTTGT